CACCCCCCCCCCCCCCTCCCCCCCCCCCCCCCCCGGTTTTCAAATTCATCATGTACTTTGTTGAGTACAAGGACAATGGGTCTCTAGTTCTCATTAGGCTGAAATTCAGACACGACCTGCCACTGACCAACTTTCTTCATTTCAATCCCTTTTAAAAAGGTGAGAAGGCTGAACCATCATTCATTTCTGCACACACAGCTTCCACAACCCCAGACCTGGCTTAGTTAGGGGAGGGATGTTCCTTGCTGTCACAGCAGTGCTGGCTCAAGTCTGAGCCATGAACACAAACTTCCAGGAGGGTTGCTGTGAAACTCTCCAGGGTACAGCACCCAGCTCTATGTAAGCAGCTAGAAATATATATATATAAGAAAATCCAACTTCTATGTTGCTGATGACTTGAGAAAAAGATGAGACAGGAAAAGTTGACTGCAAGTAGGATTTCACTTTAAGATGATGTCAACTCTTAGAAAACCTATGCTAGAGCTTCAGCATGTTTCTGCTACTAACAAAATCCTCCCTATAATGAGGTGCAGACATAAAGGAGAAGGGTGGCCAAGCCCCTGAATGAATAAAAAGCACCATATCCATGTGCTTTATTAATGGCTTCCAGAGACCCAGGAGGAATATCAATGTATTTATTCTCCTTTCATAAGAATAGAGAGACACTAATATTGCCATAACTGCCAGTCAAATCAGTGGTAAGACTGATTTCAACTCCTGATTTCTAAGAAAATTTAAGTCCTCCTGGATTTTCTTAAAAGCAATCAATATTGGTGATTTTGAACAGCAATATAATTGTATGACCATCCTTTTAAAATATCTTAGTGGCAAATAATTTTACTATGTAAAACTGATGTATTACATTTCAGCAAGGTCAGACGCACGGTTTCTGTGGCAATTAATGCTGGATATTCATTGTTCAACTCCCCAAGGAGGCTGGTGTGACTCCTGTAACATGAATACCAATGTGTAATTGCTATCTTTCATTTCTCCAAAGCAGTTCTTTTGTTATCTGTGTGGTTGAAGCGGACTAAAGTGGCTGGAGAGGGGACATATGTGAACAACAACAACAAAAAAAAGGCTGAGATGAGACGCAGAAAGAGACAAATAATTTTATTATTTGAAAGAACAGATTTGAAAAGACAAAAATCTTCCCCTGGTTTCTTCTAATCATAAGCCAATATTCATTTTATATGAGCCACTGTCATTCTAAAGTACATTTTACATCCTATGTGCACGTGATATATGGGATTATTAACTTCCTCAGGCTGCACACATACATATGGATGGGCAGGGTTTCTCTAATGTCTGTGTAAGTGATATGTATTACATGGCTGTGCGCACAGCAGTCATACTTTACTGAGCAGGGGAATAGCTGAATCAGATTGATGTACTATCAATAGCATCTTATATCATTGTAATAGGTTCCATTTTGAAATCTGTTAAAAATAAAGAAGGGAAAAAGCAGAAAAAAAATCAATGAATGACAGAAGATGTTACTGAAAACTGCTGTGAAAACATAAAAATCCTATATTACCAGCTCTGAAGATGGAAAGTTAAATTAATGCATTCTAACCTATGCACTTGTCACCAGTTTCTCTTCCTGATAAAGAACAGAAGTTCCATTGCTGAGGTCTGGGTATGAAATTTTATTTTAGTACTTACTAGGTTAAGAAAAAGTATTAAGAGAACTAATGATGGGCAATATGTCCAATGACAGTCCATGAAATGGAAGTAAAGCATTCAAACAATTACAGTCATTTATGTAACAAATAATGTGAGCCTTCACATTATTTGGTCAGGACACCCTGCTGGACACTAAGTGGCAAGTAAAGATGAGTAAGACGTGTCCTGCTCAGCACTCAGTTAACTAGCATCATGAAAAGCTGGTACAGCTTAGTGCACTCCCTAAGGTGTTGCTAAGTGCAAGGGACAAGGCAAGTGGAACCCACAGAATTTGGTAGTCACAGGTAACTATGTGGCCTGAAAGAGTGAACAGGAAAAGGCTCTCAGAGGAATGGTAATTGTAAGACAGATCAGTTGATGTTTTAGCACTGTAGACACTTAGCAAGCAAGAAGTAAAGTGCAGGTCTCTACACAAAGGTCAAGGATACAGACAAATTTGTGAATTATTAAAGTTGACAGTGGGCAAAACTGCCTTTACGGGGGAACAGAAAAGAGAGAGAAACATGAATCCAGGAATTTAAATTAAAAGTAGAGTAAGGAAGAGGTAAAGAGGGAAAGTAATAGAGTCCTGGGGAAACTACTCATGGAGAAGATGAAGAACAGCACCAAGAATTGGAGGGAGAAACAGGAGGGCATGGTACCAGGAGGTCCAAGGAGATAGCTTGCTCAGGCCTGAAGTTTAAGATGGCAAGGTTAAGAAAATATATGCTGGGTTCACTGTGGGGCAAGAGGGAAGAAACTGAGCTCCGGTACTCTGGAAGTTGAGGAAGGAGAATCCTTCATTCAAGCCGACCTGGGGGACTTATAGAAACTCTGAATCAAAATAAAACTTGAAAAGAGCTAAGGATGTAGCTCAGTAGTACAGTACTTGCCTGGAATATATTAGTATGTATGAGGCTCTGGATTCAATCCAAAGTACTAAAAAAAGAGGGAGGAAGAGAAAAAAGAAAAGAGTAGGAAGACAAGTGTTAAGGTGCTAGCGAAGGAAGAAGATGGGAGGGAGGTGCCAACCTGAGAATTTCATTATGTAGGTCTGGCAGCTTGAAGAGGCTGTGTGCCTAGCTGGGGGAAGGTAAGGAAGAACAAGCAACCCAAGTGGAGGTGAGGCTACTGAAGAGATCTCCTCCTTTCAGCTAGGATCAACTGACCTAGGATGTGAGACAGGAGACACGATCATATGCCATGCCATCTACCTTACTGGAAGGGTTATAGAGGCAGCTTCTGGAGGAGGGTTTGGGGTGAAAGTGGCACTAAAGAAGATATTGGAAAAGTGGTCTCATGGGTCCAGCAGGGGGTAAACCAATCATGAAAAAAAGACTTGTCTAGCAGCAGAGTGGACTGCTGAAGCTAGACACACATTTATGCTAGTATGTCTTTCTGCTGGAAGTACTCAGAAGACTTTGAGGAAAATAATGAATGATGAAGCCCATCATCCAGGATAAGGGACTCCAGGCTGGGAGGAGAATCCAGGGTCCATCAGCACAGGGGGAAAAAGCTCTTCATCACAGGGAGTCTGCTGGGCTATGGAAGGAGCAAATGAACTGTAAAAACCAAGGGGGATGCAGACCATCTGCTACATGGGCCAAAGGCACAGGCTTTGGTCAAGGAGGCAAAGTCCCAATGTAGAGCAGTTCTGAGTGGTGAGGACTAGGGGAAGAACAGTGTACCTTGAATGACATGTATTTTGGGTTGGGTCCTGTGTTCCTGACTTACAGTAATATCTATAACCCTTATAGTTTCCCATGTGACCAGTGCACTAAGTATATCTTTAGTTTAGGTATTTAATCTCTTTAGTTTAGGTATTTAATCTTCATATCTTCATTCCTAAAGCAGCTTGAACAGGTCCAGAACTATAGAGAAAGGCAGTCTTCTGTTACTTATAACAAGCTGTCTTTCATCACACCCACCTGTGTTTATGTTACTGAGGTGACATTATTATGTGACAAAATCCCTGAATAACCACACCATAGGAGGCCTGGTTGCTAGGGAAACCAACCACCTTCTCAGAGGGTTAGGAACTCATAGCTTGGGTCTCCACCTCTGAATGTCTTGTTGGTCACTAATGGCCAATGACTTAATCAATCATGCCTACATAAAGAAGTCTCCATAAAAATCTCCAAAGAACTGAGTTCAAGGGGCTTCTGGGAAGGTAAGTGTTCATCTACTAATCAGGAAGGTGGCACATCCTAGCTGTACAGGAAGAAAGCACCTGTACCTGGAACCCTTCTAGACCTTGTTTGCATTATCTCTTTGGCTGTTCATTTGTGCCCCTTAAAATATTCTTTGCAAGAAACTGGTAAACATGTTTTCCTCAGTTCTGTAGCCACTCTAGGAACTTAATGCAACCCAAGGAGGATGTTGTAGAAACCCTAGTTTATAGACCAGAAACCTAGGTAAAACAACCTGAAACTTTTGCTTGGCATCAAAATTTGGGGACGTCTTAAGGGACTCAGCCCTCATCCTGTGGGATCTGATGCTACTCCCTAGTAGACAGTGCTGGAATCCAGTTGAATTATGGGTAATGAAGCTGGGACCTCTGTGGTACTGACCATTTTCTTGTGAGTAGAGGACCCCTCAACACACCACACTTTTGGTCACAGAAGTATTACATGTTGATAACTGAGTGAAAGA